TTTCAGATTTGAAAGGGCAGTAGAAAACCAGGTGCTATTGCAGCTCATGCATATTGTGAGAGATCTGCTGGTTCACCTTGTTGGCCTGATAAAGCAGCCAAATGCATAGCCCCTTCAGCTCTTACACAATCTTTTCCTTCAGTATTATGCAACAACCCACAACGGATTCTCCAGCATGTCAACTTCCTGATCAAATCTGGAGACTGAACAGAGACCAGTGCAGATTCCAGTTGGTATTCATGGATTCCAACTTGTCTCTACTGTCCCCCACTTCACATCAATCTTTCCTTCCTGCCACACTCCCTGCTCTTCAGGCCCAGTATCAAAAGCAGATGCAGTAATATATATACATAATTGAAGATGCTAGTTACATGGTATAAGTTAAAATATTTTGTATAAATTTTATAGTATTTATCATTCTTAGTGATTCTGTTTCTGTGATTGAACTATGAATGAGATACTATCTTGAAAATTATTTGCTATCCTCAGCTATTATTTAGCAATATTTAAATTTGCTATATAATGTTATGAAACCTAATTATGCTTCAAAATATTTTAAATTTAGCTTTATATTTTATGCTGAAGAGAAAACTAATGAATAGTTTCTTGGTCAGTGGATGAAATGTTCACAGCATAAGCGTTTTTAAATAAAATTGAATATATTTTCCATTTCAAAATGTAAAATATGTAATGGAAAGTCTAGTATGCTACTTCCAATGTTATATGAAGTGTGTAGCGAAATGACAAAAAACATATTAAAAAGTAGTGTGAATATAGTAGATTCTAAAAAGAGGCAGCCTGAACATGAATCTCTGATTCTCTAACATAGGATGTCACCCTCTCTGAAAGAACACACAAAAAATAAAGGCATGCTTGTTTAGCTTCAGAAATAATGCCTAGGGCCTCTTTCATTCTGGTAAATGCTAGGGGATAGCCCTCATTCTCTGTGTCACAATGAGAAAACTACAAGGCCAACAACTAAAATGTTTACCTCTTATTTAATCATAAAAAAAAATCTATGTGTTTCATAGCAAATTAAGGAGATCCGTCTGTACTGTACACTTTTATGTTTTGGGAAACAATATCCAATCTTGCTGTGATTGAAAGTCAAGGGAAATGAGAGGCTGAATTACTCAGTCCATGAGAAGGGAAGCAGGTAGCCTCTTACATCCAGAGAGGGTCCGTAACAAGCAGCTTTTTCTAATGCATTTCAGCTCAGAGGAAACCATTTCCCAGCCTGTGAGATGTTGTAATCCCAACACAGATACTTGTCCTATTTGCTTTTTCACCCTTGTCTTAGGGAATCAATTCACTGATCCAGAACTATAAAAATAAAATAATTAAGTTATAACTTTCTTAAATTAGTAAGATGAAAAAACAAAATCATGCTGATCAACCACTGAAGTAGTGCTAGAGAATTTAAAATAAGGAAAATCTTCAAGGAATTGTTACCAAAAGATAAAAGAAATACTTTCTAACACTAGAACTCAATTTCCAAATTAAAAAAATAATAATAATTGACAATATTTTATAGGTTTCTAGTGCTGAGAAATAAGACCAAGTTGAATATTTCACAAAATGGATCAGAGTTGAGAGTACATATCATGAGAAGCAAGTGAAGAAAACTGACATGAAAATCATAATCTTAATTAAGAAAAATGAGCTTCTGAAGAGAAAAACAATTCTGTAATGGATTGAAGCTAAGTAAAAACATTAAGACAAAAGACTAGAAATTTTAGACTGCCTGGCTCTTCAACCCTAAAATCAACACAATTATATTAATAGTATCTACTTATAGGTTGGTACTCTAAAATTTGAGAATTAAATGTGTTATTAATTGTGAACTATGTAGACCATTATCTGGTGCTGAATTTGTACAACATAAAAATAGACGATTACAATTATTACGAATTCAGCTTTAAAAGCTAATCAGATATTTTTCTTAATGCATGTAATTGAACTTGAAAACTTGTTTGAAACTGACAATTCTCTAGAAAATAAAAAAGAAGTTACCAAAACTAACTTGAAAAATAATATTGAGTGTAACCAGTCTTACAAATAAATTACAATATGATACTCTCTACCTCGATAATGTGGTATTCAATTATGAATTAGGAAACTAAAAACATTGAAATGTAGATGTAGAAATATGACAATGTTGGTGAGCCATTGAATAATTTACAGGGAGAAAAAACATCTGTTCACCCCTTATTTAACAGAAAACTGGGAAAACATGTCAGTATATAGGTAATCTGACAGATGGTTTATTGATAGCCATGGGATTGTTAAGAATCCTACAGGCAAACCTAGAAATGCTTTTGTGTGCTAGTTACTAAGTAGAGGAATATATGACCAATAAAAATATGGCATCTATCATGGACTTTGGCACAATGTATCAGTTATAATGTAACAATCACTATTAATAGGAAAATAGTGGAGACCTAAATTTTCTGTGATTGTTCAGGTAAGAGTAAGATAAAATAAGCACACTCCACCAGGTGTTTTCCATTGAAGATAACTATAAAACCTGAACAGAATGCTTAGACTAGCTATTTGAGGACTATGAAAAGTAAGCAATATCAGGCAGGTTCAAGAAGAAAACAAGAATTCTAAATGCCACAGAACCAACAACTTTATCATTTTTCTCTCAATAATATTTCCTAGCCAGAATGCAAAACAATCTGAAATTTTGAAGTAAGCATAAACATGAATAACAAAAGTCCCATGAGAAGCCTGCTAGCTCTGGCTTACTAGTAGAAGAGGGGGAAAAATAAAAAACTATATGGACCCTGAGTTTTTTCTTCTGTCTGATCTCTCACTCCCCAGACACCGAGCAGTATTCTGGCAATGTTGGCAGAGACTTCAATGCAGTAAGTTTCTAGGAGCCAAATCTTCAGGAAGAAAACCTCTTTCTCTGATACATGGTGCTGATAACATGAGGATAGGGCAAATCCTTTGTGTTTGTGTTTTTCTCTTTCTGTATTCAAAGGTTGGTGCTAAATGCAGGAGGAGACATTAAGGAAATATGCAACATGGTGGGATAATTAAAGCCCCACCATTCAAGGGAGTGTATCAAGAAGGGGAGCCCAAGCTTATGGGAAATCACAGGCAGCATGGTGTTCAGAGTATGACTCCATAAATTAATTTGTAAATACGTAGGTTCTTCCCCAAGCTATGCATTCTCAAATCTGATCCTATCATGCCAAAAACCTTGAAAACTTAACTAATGGAAACTACCATTAGGTTTCAGAATCACTGAGCAGTGCACACAAAAGAGATATGTAAACAGGACCACAAAGCCTTTAAAAACAGAACTGACATTGAAACCACAGTCTATAGAAATTTGGTTGAAATTTGTAGCCTGAACCTAAACAGGTCAATTACATTCTAAAAGAAAAAAAAAATATTAACATTTTCCATGAGATTTAAACACAATCAGAGGTCTCAACAAAATATACAAAATGTCCAGCATATACTCCAAAATTATTCAGCATATGAAGAACCAGAAAAATTGCAACTGACATGAGGCAACACAATAAATAAATAAAAATTTCCAAATAAAACAGGTATTGGAATTACCTGGAAAATATTATAAAACTGCTATTATAGAAATGTTTAAATAGACAGTTGTGAATACTGTTTAAAGAAACGAAAAATTAGACATAGAAAATACATAGAATATATTTGAAAACAAACAAAATTACATGGCTTTAAATATCACACAAGATGAGTTCAATAGCACTTTAGATATGGGAGAGAGTTTTGAAGACATTAGAAATTAATCTTAAAAATAGATTTTTTTAAATAAGATAACAAAATTCCTGGAAATATAACAAAAATTAACATGCTTACTAACGGAGTCTGAGAAGAGAAACATTTCAATAACACTTAAAAATCTAGTCTAACTTAGTTTTTGGAACAAAATATATGGCAATTGTAATAAAAACTTTTAACATTGCCTGGTGTGGGTTTTTTTTTTTTTTTTTTCATATGAGATACTCAGTAGAGACCTTAAGGAAAATTAACAGTCTTTTTAGAAGAGTGGAGGTGTAGAAGTCGATGTAATTTTAATTCCATTTTTAATTGTCCAGCAATTTGAGAGTCACAACTTGTAACAAATTCACAAAGTGGCCAAGTATAGTCTCTTCTGAATTGGAGTGTCTGATTTTACTATGCATTTATTTGAGACATTTGAGATGTATACATTTTTCTGTAATAGTTTTGATATTTCATGGATTACTTGCCCCACAATCATAATTCCATTGCCCCAGGATAAAGCATTACCTAATTGCAAATAATCCTGTTGCTCATTTGTTGCATGTTTACTTCAGATAACTTATGCTTAGGGAAAACTTTCATGTGCTTCGTAATATCTCTAGATTGAGTTCATAGTTGCAGGTATCTAAAGATTTGCCTTTAAAGACCTCAGGGATTGAATGAAATACCAGAAGCCGTGTCCCAAAATACAACCAGTTTTGTTTTCTTATGTTTGTAGTAAACAGTGTTAGAGTCAGACCCAATTAACCCAGAATATTTTTTAACCTTTCTGTGGTCAGAGGAATCATATTAAACCTGATAGTAAAAAAGAAAAAAAAAAAAACTTTAATTGGAAATGTTACAGTTGAAATGAAGTTTCATCTGATAGACCACAAACAAATGTTTTAGACATTAAAAAGTGCTCAAAGACCAGCTGCGTCCAGTCCCCCAAGTGCCGTTTTCTGAGTGCAGAACGGAGGGTGAGTCTTGAGCTGAGGCTGTGTCCCCAGCATCAGGTATTGTTTCCCCCCCCATTCTCCCTTCCTTGCCCGTTGCCCTTCACCCTTCTTTTTCTGTTTGCTGTGGCCTGGTTCAGTATAACATATCCATGAACTCTAGCATGGGCCTATGGACAGTCATAGCTGCAATCAGACTTTCTAAGCAAATGGGAGTGTGATATGCATATATGATAACCATTAGAAACTCTGCCACCTCAGAGAGGGAAAGTGAATTTCTTAATTTTTTTAGTTACAAGAGTCACTTCTTAGCCAACTGTCTAGAGAATGCAGAGTGAACAGGGGAGCAAGGAGCTGACAGCACAGCCCTGCCACAGGAAGCAGAACACACCTCTATCAAGTGTCACCTCCAGGAAGGCACCCCATCCCCACCCTCCCTTTTTTGGGCTCATATTTAGGCAAAGCTCAGAAACTCCCAACTTTCCCAGCTTTCCTAGGCTAGGGCTTGAACTAAGTAAAGAAGCCAAGGAGTTCAGATCTAGATAGCAGAGAAGTAAGTCTCATTCTAAAACATTGCAACTACTCTTATTAGAGTCCACCCATGAAGCTGTTTCAGATTGTGTATCCTTGACTGAATTCCATATGTATACAGTGTTCAGACTAAAACAAGCGTTGCTAGATTGGCCGTGCTGTCTCAGTAGGACATTGACAGACTCTAGCTTTCACCCTCTGGAGAGCTGTGACCTAAGTGCCACCTGCATGATGAGAACCGGTCCAGGAGCTGTCCTGCCACGGCTAGCTCACGGCTTGACAGCAACACTTCTCCTTCTCCGCCCAACATAGACTTGGTCACCTGAAAGTTAGAAAATCAGTAGGAAGTTAAACATATCTTGTGTCCTGTGGGGATCTCGGCTTGGGCAATTACGGCAACCGTGACCACTGCGAAGAAGGCTTCAAAGGTTAAGTCTTTTGTAAGACTATCCATTTATTTAACTTGTTTGCCCCATTTCAGCACCAGCTTGGTTCTCCTTTTTCTCCCTGCTTTGGCACTCTCCTTTCCTTCCTCACCGTGAAGAGGATTGTTATGCAAATTCTGCTTTTGGCAGTGTCTGCCTCGAGTAATTGACATTAGCCTGAAAAATGTCTCAGGCTTGCTCTGGAACAAATCACCTGCTTTTCTACTGAGCGTCAGCCTTGCAGCTCTCCAGAACATGAAAACATGCAGCAGTCAACACTTACCTTTGTCTCCTTTTTCTCCCTTGTGCCCTCGAGGACCAGGTGGCCCAGGATGACCTGGTGGTCCAGCAGGGCCCCTGTCACCTAGAAGGACAAATGGGGCATAACTAAGTAATGCATGAGTCTGGGAGCTGAGGGCACAGGTAGCCGGTGTGCCACCAGCACAGGAGCTGCTTTTCAGTAAGAGGTGGGTGTTACACAGGATCCGGGGGACTGGCTCTCTGCCACCACTTACCTTTGGGTCCTGGAGTGCCCATCTCTCCTTTTTGCCCAGGGGGTCCTTGAATGGCTCCATAAGCTGTAAAAGCAGGGTATCACTGGCTTAGAATAGCGATTGTGTGGCAGCTTGGGACATGAGTCATTTGTTCAGAGTAACAGAGAGATAGTGATGGACTTTGGACATGTAAGGAAACCAGGTTCAGAATTTTATAGAATTTTTCTAATTTTGAGCATCTCAAGTGTTAATAACTGGAGGTTTCTCATGAGACTGGTGTTTCTGGAGCAGACCTGTGGGAGCCTATGCAATGAGGCAGGTGCTGGAAAAGCAGTTGGATGCCCTTACTTCGGAAGAAGTCCATGAGGTCTGCAGTCACATTGCTGTAGGCAGAGAAGACCTTGCTGATGCCAGGTGGCCCCTGGGGCCCCGGCTGGCCTGGTGGGCCCTGGACAGTGTAGGCCATCCCTTGCAGTAGGCCCTGACCTGTAAAACACCAGAGCATGGGCACAGGAATTCGGGATTGACCAGCGCCCTCTTCAGCAGGAACACAGTGCCCTCCGAGTATCTAACGCCCAAAGCAGTTGAACTAGATCAAGCCGCAGCAAGGGTGAAGCCCTCCAACTGACACAGGTGTCTCCCTGCTGCAGGCCTGTATCAAAGTCTTGTTGACTGAGTAGCAGTGCTGTTAAGCTGCACAGGGAAGGGACTCTTAGCCAACGTCCTTCTCAGTCCCAGCAGAAAGACCAGCATGGTCCTATGACTCATTTGGGACCCAGAACGAGTTAGGTGTTGGGAAAGCAAAGTACAAAGCCCTCAGCATGCTCTGTTCCCCACAGCTCAGGTCCCAGGGCTTGGGCTCCGTGAGCTGAGCGGGCTGAGAACTAGGCTGGGGCTGCCTGTCCCCTCCAGTCCCTCCCTGTCTGATTCTGTCCTCACAGCCTGGGTGCTCCACAAATAGGAAAGCCAGTCTGGAGATGCTCCCATGCTCCTTCCCCCAGCACCAAGGCCTAAATGTCCCCACTTACGCTGCATGCTCTCTGATACCCGCACAGCCAGCTTATTGTAATCCAGACCTCCAGCAAAGTCAGCCCCGAATGGTCCGCCATTGCCACCATACATGCTGCCTTCTGCCCCATAGCCTCCACCTAGGCCGATGTCAGTGCCATAGGGCCCCCCGTCTCCTGCAGCTGCACCCCCTGTGCCCGTGGAAGAGCTGTAGGAGCTGCCCCGCCTGATGGACGAGCTGTGTGAGGAGGAGCTTCTGCTTCGACTGTGGGAGGCATCCGTGGACAGGTGGCGGCTGTCCCCAGGGGGTCCCTGTGGCCCAGGAGGGCCTGGGGGGCCAACAATGAAGCTGCGCACATCAGGACCTGCAGGGTAAGAAGCTGTTTGATAGGGAGCTCAGATCTTAGCGGAGAGAAAGAGTTAGGGAGTCTCTCCCAGGGTGTCAACTACCCTGAGAGACTGGAAGTAAACTTAAGGGTTCTTGTACCCGAGTGGGAGAATGATGTTGTAGAAGGAAACTGGGCTTACCCCACTGGTGGCTCTCATGTGTGTGGCCTCCCTGTCCCACTTACAGGGATAAGCAAGGCCTGCGGGGTGCCTGGTGGGGCATCACCGTCAGGGGCACCTACTTGTGAGGTAGCTGATCAGCTCACTCCGGAAACTGTCGCTGTTTTCAGCTGCGTAGGTTGCCAGAGCTCCTGAGACACCAGGGGGCCCTCGAGGACCTGGAGGACCAGGTGGGCCTGGAGGACCTGGGATGGATGACAAGCCGGCGGCTGGGCAGAGGAAAGAGGAAGAAAGGTCAGGCTCGTGCTGTGGAGGAAGCTGAATTCCCAACCTGTACTGGAGCGCTGTGAGCCCCTCCTGGAAAGGAGGGGATAAGGCCAGGCCTCCGGGTGAGGGGAGGAGAGAACAGCAGGAGGCCCAGAGCCTGCTGTTTCCTGGCATCATCCAGGAATGGCTGCTCCTGGGGCCCTCACTCCCAATTCTGAGCCTCATTCAACTCAGCCCTCCAGTCACTGAGAGGTAGAGCCCCAGGTTGGCCCTCATCACACTGGGCTACACCTGGGAGGGCCATCTCTCCCCATCTCTGTCCCTGCTACGGCTGAAGGCCCCCTCACCAGAACATATGGCGCTCTCCAGGACCCCGTGCCCAGCCCTGTACGAGCTCCAGGAGTGCTTGAACTGCCCTTGCTAAAACCCAAGTAAGCCCCCAAAGCCAGGCTGCATCCCCTGCCCTCCCATCCCACTCCACAGTGGCCTACTTTGTAAGTAAGAGGACAGGTCCTCCACGCTGATGCTGGACCACACATTGCCTGGGATCCCTGGTGGCCCCGGGGGACCTGGGGGTCCAATGATCCCTCTGAATTCAGATCCTGAGATACCAAGGAAGGTCACAGAGTCAGTCCTGGCCTGGGCCAGGGGGCTCTGTTTCCTCCCCAACCACTTGGACAATGTCCCCTGCTGGGCCTTACCTCGTAGCAAGGAGAGGAGCTCCTCATAGGAGGTTCCCGGCAAGCCAGGTGGCCCTGGGGGACCAGGAAGCCCAATGCTGATCCCAGAACCTAGGGATGTGATGGATTCAGATCAGGCAGGGGAAGACAGATGGAAACACCTGTCAGAGAGGAGGTCGGACACACGGGAGGCTTGGACAAAAGTGGGACCCAAGAAAGAGAAGAGAGATGGCAGGAAGAGAGGCAGAGAGGAGGAGCATCAAGGGAGGAGGGGAGGGCTCCGAGGGGCTGGAGAAGCAGGTCAAGGTGCCTGTGTGCTTCATTCTTCTGTGAGTGTGTGAGAGACAGAGAGAGAGAGTTGTATGTAGACTTCATACAAGACAGTGCCTGTAACCCCCTTTCCTTGCCATGCTTCTTGACCTGCCCCAGGCTCACAGGTTTGAACAGCTCTGAGCACTGCTTATTGGTGGGGTTGGTCCAGCCTGGCAGGTGGGGGTCAGTGGGGCGATCGTGAGGAAGTTCACCCTGCCGAGTCCTCATTCCAGGCCCTTCCCAACCACCCCTTCTGTAGACACTTACTCGACATGTAGCTGAGAATGTGACTACTCAGCTTTGCATAGTCCAAAGACAGAAGGGACCCATCTCCACTGGCTCCAGGTGGCCCCGGTGGACCCCGAGGGCCCATCAGGTACTGACGTAGGTACTGACGCACATCATCCCCTGGAGAGGAGAGGATGTACTAGCAGGACCCACCCAGGCCAAGGGGGTCCCACCCATGGTCCAGCCACAGTCTGGGCTCCCCTGCACAAACCAGCTCCTGCCTGACATTTGTGAGTTCTGGGTCCGCAGGCCCACAGTGGTCAGGGGGACACCAGCAAGCTGCCAGGTTCTGGAAGGGGCACCTGCCAGCTTGCCCGGCATGGGGGTTTGGGAGGACATTTCATGTCCTCTTTCCAGCCAGTTTGCTGACCCTGCCAGCAGATCACAGCAGTAAGTGGCTCTTTGTCCCAAAGGATTTCCTCCCTCTTGCAGCCCTCCCAAGGCTCAGATGAGGACAAGATTTGCCTGACAAGTGAGGTCAGGAGAAAGCAAGGATGGTCCCACACTCGGTCCCCTCCCAGGTGACTCACGCTGCAGCACAGCCAGGATGTCTTCAGAAGAGATGGAGGACGAGGAGGACAAGTTGATGCTGTACCCCGAAGCTGTCGGGAAGAAAACCTCAGGTTATCTGCTTAGCAGGTACTGAAGCAACACCCTCATTTTTCCAGAATCTGAAGGTCCTGGTTACTGAGCTGTTTGTCTTTGTGGGAAATGGATGAATGGGGTATTATGAGGCTATTGTGAAAGCATAACAAGGTCAAATGTTTTTGGGTTTTTTTTCCCCCTTTGGTGAGAAATGCAGTTTACTTTCAAGAACATGCTTTAGCCTAATGCCTGCGAGATAACTGCCAACCTTCATGCACAGGCAGGAAGAACCCATAATTAGGAACACATTAGTTGACTGCAGGAAGCCTCACTCTGTGGCTCTCCAACATGGTTGCCCTGAATCTGAACAGACCCTTGTTGACACTGTATCCCAGTGGCCCAAATATTGTGAATTCAGAATTAAAACTCATATTCCAGAGAAGGGCAAAGCAAACAGCAAATGAGGAGATAAGGCTCTGGGAGCAAAAGCAGACCCATAGGAGGAAGGTGCCAGGCGCAGGGCGCAGGGAAAGACTTACTCTGCAAGTAGCTCACAACTTGGCTCGCCAGCCTTGAATAGTCGAAAGTCTCGCCTGTGATGGTGGTGACAGGTCCTGGGGGACCAGGTGGGCCTGGCGGGCCCTGAACTCCAGATAGGTAAGACCTAATACTGTCACCTGCCAACAAAGGAACAAAGCAAAGTCAAGCCTGTCCCCAAGAGGACATGTTCTCCTACAGAAGTGACCCAAAGTACATGATAACATGCCTGCCACACCCCAGACATGGACCCAAGGCTGGGCCAGGAGGGAGCCTAGACTCCCCTCACTGTCCTTCCCATAATTATAGATGGAGAAACTGAGGCAGAGGCCTGAGTTGGGTCAGGTGGCCAATGAGGGCTGTGGGGCAGCAAGACTCCAGCCGGCCACCATTTGACAAATGAGCCTGTGCAGTGAGGTGTGGAAGCATGTGCGTGCATGTGGGTGAGTGCCTGCCCCAGCCTCCTACCCAGTGTGTGGGACAAGGGTGAGGTTGTGTCAGGGGCAGCTATGAGAAGGCTGGTGTTGGGGAGCTCATAGGCCTGTAGGCCTGGCTCCACAGGGGGAGGACCTGGGCCTGGCAGCACAGACTGTTTCCCTCAATACGTGCGCGCGCACACACACACACACACACACACACGTTGCCCTACGTCGTCCCATGTCTCTGTGATGATAGCACAGCTCCCTTGCACAGAGACTGTATCTCCACGTTCTTGTCCCCACAGCTTGAGGCGGCCAGCCACTCACTCTGCATGTACTCAGAGATGTACTGCTGAATCTCCCGGCCAGAGCTGCTGATGGAGCCTGGAAGCCCAGGGGGCCCAGGGGGACCTGGCGGGCCTGGCACGTACATGGTGCTTGATGATGCCCCTGCAGGAAACAGAAAGTGTCCTGCGTCGGTTCCTCCACCCTAGGGTCAGACAAACAGGGACCCAGGCATAGCTTTCATGATCTGAGGAGGGAGGGTCTTCTCAGGGGGAGAAATAGGATAGTGGCAAGAAGCGTCCCCAAGAAGAGAGGAAAGGAGAGCCTGTAGCAGCCACTGTCTGAAAGGGGCACAGTGAGGGAGCTGCCCCCGGCCAAACTGCCCTTTCCTTCTGCAACCTGCTGAAGGAACCCCAACATTGCATCCCCCTTCTCTGAACTCCCCAGCACCCAGGGTGTGTCTGTTCTCCATCATGCAGTGTCTGCATTGTTAGGTATCATGTAACCTCCGTAAGGGCAGCTCATAGGTCCTAGCACATGGAGAAGAATCAACAATGAATCACGGAGAAATGAATGAATGAATAGAGCAACATCCTCATTGGAATGATCAGCCTTCACCAGAGGAAGGGGAAAAGAACTTTGGTCACTTTCAGTTCTTACCTCCAGAAGGACCACCAGGAATGCCAGGAGCCCCTGGGACACCTGGATCACCTGGAATCCAAAATGAGAAGTTTGCATCACCTCCCCCCAGGAAGCCTTCCCTGGTTAAGCCAAACCACAATTATTAGTGTGTGGCTCAACAATTGTCCCATGTCTCTTGGCCTCATTTTTGTAATAATACTATAGTTCCCTTGGACAGAAACTATATCTCCATGTCCTTATCCCTTCCTCCCTCTGGCCTTTCCTTCCTCCAGCCTCTTCTCTCTCTCAAGACTTCACACTGATAAAAGTACTTGCTGCCGTCTCTTCAGGCTCTGGGCACCAGGCTCACCCTCACTCCTCACCACCTCGGCTGCTCCCTCACTGACCTTTGTCACCTTTGGGTCCCTGGGGGCCAGGTGGGCCTGGTGGTCCCTGAAGGTTGAGTCCGAGAGAACCAGACCCTAGAATTCAACAACACACACAGTGCAGTCAGCCAGGGTTTGCAGAGGCTCTGGCTAAAGCCAGAATGGCACGGGGCTCAGTCCTTACCTGAGGTTGAGACACCTGGGAGGCCTTGCTCGCCTGAGGACACACCAAGAGAGGGACACTCAGTCTCACTTTTCTCACCCACTATTGGCCCCTTAGAGACTCCCCAAGATCTATGATTGCTGGGGTTGCATTGCCCTTTGGGCAGTACCTAGAGCTGTCCCCTCCTCCCACAAATGCAATTGCACTACACCCCTGCGTGCATGTGCGTACACACGCACTTGCACTACACCCTGCACACACACACTTGCTTTACCCCTCTACCTGCACTTTACACCCCTGCACACACACACTTGCACTACATTCCTGCAACACACACACCCTTGCATTACACCCCTGCACACACACACTTGCATTACACCCCTGCACACACACACGTGTACAACTCATGCACACACACTTGCTTTAAACCCCTGCACACACACAAACTTGCATTACACCCCTGTGCACACACATGTACTACACTCATGCACACACACATTTGCTTTACACCCCTGCACACACAACTTGCTTTGCACCCCTGCACACACATACTTGCATTACACCCCTGCACACTCACACTTTCTTTACACTCCTGCACACACACACTTGCTTTACACCTCTGCACACACACACACTTGCATTACATCCCTGCACACACACACACACTTGCTTTACACCCCTGCACGCACACTTGCTTTACACCCCCGTGCACACACATACTTGCATTACACCCCTGTACACATACAAACTTGCTTTACACCGCTGCACACGTGCACACACACACACGCTTTACACCCCTGCACACACACCCACACTTGCATTACACCCCTGCACATACTCAACCATTCCTAGAGACACTCTGCTCTACTCTTCCTTATTTGTACCTAGTGACTTTCTAACAAGCTTAAAGCTCTTGGAAGGTGAGCTTTTGCCACCCCTCCCTCTACCCCAGGTGTCATTTAATGTGAGCTCTGCTGTACCTTGGTGTCCTCTGGGGCCTGGAGGACCTGAGGGAAAAAGGCAGAGAGCTATGAGGCAGGGCCGTGGGAGGACATAAGAGGAGTTGGGGTGGGTGCCGCCTGCAGACCAGCGCCTGCTTTCTCTTGGGAGTGAGCCCAGGTGTCAGGCAGGACATAACAAAGGGGCCAGGGCCTGGTAGAGAGCAGGGCAGGGTCGGGCTGCTGAATTCAGTGGCCCAAACACCCCAGGATGACCTGAACCAGCTTTTCCTAACCTTGACTCTATCCAGATATATCACTGGACAGTGGTATGATTATCAGGATCTGGTTACAAGAGGCCTGAGGTCTGTAAAAATAGCCAAACTTTACCCTGACCAGGGGCCCACAGAGCCTCAATCCCCCTTCTAAGAACCCCACCTTCTTAGAAACATGGAAGTGGGTGAGAAGAGGTGTCTTCCCTGGCAGCTGAGCCCTTGCAAGGCCCCGGTGAAGAGCCCTGGTCCTCTCCTCCTTTTCCCAAACACATCTTTCGCCTCGTCTAGAACAGAGGCCCCATGTCCACCCTGAGAGGAAGTCCTCCGACTGGGCCCACCATCCTGCATTCTTGCAGGGCATGACTTACCTTGCTGTCCTGGGAGACCAGCTGGGCCAGCAGGGCCTAGAAATGGGGTTGCGGAGGAAAAGGCTAAATCGTACCTGTAGGGTCATAGGAAGAACTGAAGGAAGGGCAGTCGCCAGGCATAATTCCTCCCAAGGCATGGAACAGAGACCCAAAGAGGCCACTTCGTTTGAGGGCAATAAGAAATTTGAGACCAGCCCTGTGGTCCAGCTGCATGAGAACATCTCTGACAGGTACCAGGACCCTGGGGCAGGCGGGACTGCCCTCCCTGCTACTGTCCTTTAATGGTTAGGGACTTCTACATGCCCCCATGTCCTCCTCCTCACTGGAGCTTGTCAGGAGGGAAGGCTGGTACATTCTGGCATTTGTTGTGATAAGTTATTTCATTTGCACATAAAAATGTAAAATAATTAAAAATACGTATAACAAAACAACAGGCACTTTGGAAAGGTAGGAAACAAATTGTCCGCAACTCTTCAATTAGTGGGCATTTATTTTATTTTCTTCTAGCATTTTTTCTTTTTTATATCTTATAAAAATACAGTTACAACCACAGAGCAGGCATTATTGAATGTCCTGCTCTTCAATAAACATTTTATCTTGTAACAACTTTGTTTGGAAGTGTTTTTGTCACCATCTTACTTGGGGATATTTTCTTCAAATAGATACCTGACATTTTTGTTGCCCTGGATGCAGGATGTCAAGTTGTTTTCCAGGAGGAAACAAAGGGCTCAGGGGCTGGGTGTTCTGACTGGCCACAGGCTCTGGAGGTAGAACGATCTGAGCCAAATTCTTTGTCCTGCTGCTTATTGGCCATGGGAACTTGGGCAAGTCAGTTACCCGCTCCAAGCCTCGGCTTCCCCTTCTGTAAATGCTGATTGCACATCAGCCTCCTATGCTGTGAAGTAGGATAACTGATCTACCTCATTTCTGAGAATGCAAGAGTTTACCTTTCTCAGGTCAAGCTCCTTATTCTCTTTGCCAGGTTCAGTTCCTGGCCTAGGTTTCAGGATCTGAACAAATATGGCTAGAATCACTACTTCCAAGACCTACTGCTGATTTGGGGCAAAGCAAGAAAACCGACTGACCTGGGGCACCTGGAGGTCCTGGGGGTCCCATGGCTCCAGGAGGTCCTGGGGGGCCTGGGACGGTGAGCGTCGATGACCCCTCTGAAAACAGAAGGCACATGAAACATTTAGTCCTACCCTTCTCACTCAGAGGCGCTGGGACCCGAGCCAGGCTGTGGTGGGCAGGCTGGTGTTTCTTCTTATTACTGCTGAATTTCCCTCCTTCCCCCTCTACTGATCCAGAAAGCTCCCTGCCACATCCTGCCCAGAGCACCGCAGAGCCAAGGTAGGTGCCCAGCATAAGAAAGGCAGGAAGGAGGGTCCCTCTAGGACCTGCCTACCTGAAGTCACGATCTTGCCTGGAGCTCCTGGTTCACCTGGGAAGGGAGGAAAAGGCTGAGAGTAGTTGTTCTGAGGATCAATTAGTGGCTCAATAAGCTATTTTCAAGGCTTCTGATTGCATTTGGGACCCACTTCTGGGCCTCTCACCCACAGACTAAAGGCATTTTAATGAACTGAAGGGAGGCATGCAGGATGCATTAAGCCTAATTGCTCAGCTGGAGCCCCCAGAGGCCAGAGCATCCGTCTTCATTCAGAGAAGTGTCTTCACTTGAGGATGTGGAAAGCTTGCCTTTCAGTGAACCCAGAATGAGGCTGACTGGAAAGTCCTTCACACTCCCACATTCCATCACTTCTGCCTGGGAATTGCCTTAGGTGGGAAAGTTACTCAAACGTCAAAGGACAGAGGCGATGAGCCCCCCTCCCCTACCCCAGGTAGAGCAGGATTCCCAGAGTGCTCTGTGGCACAGTTGTAGGGGCTGTGCAGGATTTAAAAGGGGGCTCTGCAGTGCGTTAAGTCTGAGAAGCTCTGAGTTATATAAAGGTTAACAAGATCTCTTTTCTGCTTCATGTCTCAGAGCATTGAAAATGAAAGTGTGAGGCCGGGTGCGGTGGCTCAAGCCTGTAATCCCAGCACTTTGGGAGGCCGAGGCGGGTGGATCACGAGGTCAAGAGATTGAGACCATCCTGGTCAACATGGTGAAACCCCGTCTCTACTAAAAATACAAAAACATTAGCTGGGCATGGTGGCGCGTGCCTGTAATCCCAGCTACTCAGGAGGCTGAGGCAGGAGAATTGCCTGAACCCAGGAGGCGGAGGTTGCGGTGAGCCGAGATCGCGCCATTGCACTCCAGCCTGGATAACATGAGTGAAACTCCGTCTCAAAAAAAAAAAAAAAAAAAAAAAAAAAAAAAAAAAAAAAAAAAAAAAAAAAAAAGAAATAAGAAAATGAAAGTGTGTGTGGAGGCCTTTTGAGAAGAGGACATTCCCAAACCTATCGACCGGATACAGTGCTGAGAACTGGCAATCCATGGACTCGCTTGCGGAAACCATTCTTTAGGGGCCCTTTTTTCCCCAAGTTCAGTGAGCAATTCAGTCATTCACACATGAAAGGAGAATATTACTGTCTCTCTAAGGGAAAGCAGAGGGATGGTCTCTGCTCACCATCCTTCAGCCAGGGCTCATGAACAGAGAGGAGAAAGCACTTGAGTCTGTTTTGTTGGGATGCAATCCAACATTAGGTAAAATGGCCCCTCTTGTGCATGTTGTCCGGGCAGGGTCTGAACTCCCCCTTGGATAGGAAGTCACAGGCCCTCAAAAAGGGAGGGTTTCTGTTATCCTAGGAAATTCCAAAACCTATGAGACTCTTACAAAAGATATCATCCATTCATGAACAGATCCGTGGACCTAGCGTGGTCTGCCTGGGATGTATAAACTCGGCTATCACTATTTTGGAATTACATTTAGTTAGCCCTAAAGAACTCCTTGGCCCAACCAGTCTTTGGAAATCATTTATGGAAAATGGTTATTTTAGGGTCCCACCAAGAGGGACAGTGACTGCCGTGACAGAGCACAGCTCCATAGAATGTTAAAGTTCAGGAGCGTGGTGGGATCATAGGAACAGAAAGAGAAAGACCATCCCCGAGACTGGATCCCTGAACTTGCTCAGGGTTGGGGCTGATAGGCAGAACTGGATGAGAGGGTCACTGTGTGCACAGGCATCACCACATTGCCCTAGCCAGACCCCTGAGGATGGGCTCCCTCTGAGTACCCTGACTTGCCCTCTCAGTAGCATTTGAACACTCCTCTCTGCCTGTACTAAAGCCACCACTCGGGAAGGGCCTGGTGTAGCCATTCACACCAAGGCCGATGTGAATGATAAGGGCAAAGGTGGCTCCTGCCCCAGGGGAAGAGATTTGTTCGGAGGGGACCAAGCCTACATGCCAGGGGGATGAAGCACTAATGGGGGCATTTAGAGGCAAAACAGTGCATAGAAAGGCTTTGAGGGGGCAGTGCCTTTCCAGAACCTCCTGCAACAATGGCCTGGAGACATCCAAGTAAGAAAGCAACGCTCATGTTTGTGGGGTGGGTGTTTGGGGAGAGGTGGGGCTTGAGGATTCAGGGCTTGGTTCACAAATCCCTGGGCTCCCAGCCTCACAGCCCTCTGCCAGAACCACTAGATGCCACTGTTGATCCAGGCTCTGGCCAAAGAAAGCCCTCCCTCCTGTCCATCCCTTCCTTTTATAAAAATGGCCATTGAAAAGAAAGAATATCTCATTTGGAAATTCACTTACCTTTTATTCCTGGTTGACCGGGGGTACCAGGAAGTCCTGATGTGATTAGAACAAGTAAGTTAGGATGATGAAGGCCCAGCAATTCCAGACACCCTCGGGTAGTAACTAGTGCACTGTCACTCAGGACAGCCACACTGCTGATTGAAACCCTGAGACCTTTTGCTGTCTGCTTTAGTCTAGACAGTCACGCCTGAGGAGCCTCTTGTTCTGAGCCCTTGTCCCTCTTTGGGAAATGGGGCAACAGCTTGGCTTCAAGTGGGCAGAGGCACATGGACTCAGCTTTGGGGGGTTCCATCCCTCAGGGTCATGAGTCACCTGGAGACTGCAGAGCGGCCTCTGTCTCCCCTCTCCCCTGCAGAGGAGGAGCTGGGCTTCCTGTGTCCAATGCAGCAACGCCCTCTTGCCTTCAGACACTGAACTCCTCTGTGAGAGCATCGGAAGCATGTCCCTGTGCATTCAACTGCTGGGGGGCCTGATGCCTGATTACATTTTCAATCTTTGCCTAATTTCTTTCAGGAAATTAGGGGATAGGTGTAGTGAGCTTGTCCATTATAGGGGCATAATGGTCCAACTACAGGACAGGCTTTAACACTGAGGCTGTTCCAGAGAAACTGGGCTTTCCTGAACAAGGCTGAGCACCCATGCCCTGCCAGGCCAGTGGGGGAATTTGGGCCTCTAGCAGGAGCTTTGCTATGGGCTTGGGGTTCCTCTCAGATTCCTATACCCAAGGGGAACAGGGCATAGGAAGACAAAATTGGCACACAATCTAATCTCATTTCTACTAGAATGGTGTTCTAGATTGTTCTGTGCCTATTTTTCCTTCCTAAGGTGCTTCTCAAGGCTCACAGTGAAAGGGAGTGTATGCCAGGGAGTTGGAAAGGAGAGAAAACTGGTGACTTCAGGAAAACCCTGGCCTAAGCAGCTACCCCAGGAGGAGGTGGGGGGCAGCAGGTGGGAGTGATCCAGTGACTCACCCTGAGGTCCCTGGGGTCCTGTGAGACCTGCAGAAAATCAGACACAAGAGGGAAAAGTTGAAGGGTTGAGGCTGTCCCTGGTAGCCACACCCATGCCTGCAGAAACCGGTGGACATTGCAGTGGAGGGGTCAGTGGGTACAGGAGGACATGCCTCATGCCGGGGCAGCCAGCCGCCGGGGCAGCCAGCCTCCGTGGCCCTCCCAGCTCTGAATGGAGAGCAGTGGTCTTTTGGCTTTGCAGATAAGTGACCCACTGCTTTCTCAGGCAATGGTTCTGAGCCTTTTGGGTTCACAAACCCTTTTGGAATCTGAGGAGAGCCATGAGCCCAGAATGCTCAACACTCATGGACCCCAATGCTGTCCCAGGGTCCCTTTCTATGTCTCCTGTCTGGGCACCCACCAAAGGAGGCTGAGGGGGCCCCTACTCTCAGAAGCCCCAATGAATGCTCACCCGCCCTGACCACACAGCTTTCTTTGCTGGTTTTCATTTGTTCTTCCTGCAGCCCTGAGAATTTGCTCTTTGCTCTTGGTGGAGTCTCTAACAATGGCTTCCACCTTAGCCTGGTGGGTGTTGGTGGGGGTCCAGGTACAGCCCCAGGAGAGAAGGACAACAGGGGAAGGGCTCAGAGGAGCAAGATAGTGAGGTGACATTCAAGTCTACAATTTTAAGAGTGTCCTTCCCCCTTTCTAGAACTCCTTGTATTCAGCTGTTAATCTCACTCTTCTGAATTGCCAGACTTAGTTACTCAGAGGTGCCAGGGCCTATAGCCACTGCACACAAAACAACCTAACACTATGGCAGTTCCCTGCTGAGCTGCTGGAGGAAAATGGGATAAAGCACACACAGGTACATTTGTGCACACGTGCATGCACACACACACAACCATGCACATACACACCCTGTCCCCCACTACCCACACACCTGTGCATGCACACAAACACACACACACACACACACGCCTACATCCACACACACAAAGCACACACACACTAAGCAGGGCCATGGCTCCTCTTCTTGCTCTGATACCTGGCTTTCCTGGGTTTCCAGAAGGTCCTGGTGGGCCACGGATTCCAGGCATCCCTGTAAGACCTTGTTCACCTAGAGAATGACCAACATGGAAGGGTTTACTTTTAGGAAGACTAAACTGGTCATCACATCTGAGCCGATAGGGTTTTCCTAATTGACTTGCTGGCAAGTAGAAAGGAGAAGGGGAACAGAACTGGACACTGCACATGCCATACACTCCTCTGGCACTATGTTAAGGGGACTGGGGGCTGCATGCTGGGACATGGGCTGTGATGGGAGTGAGGCTAGAGGCAGCAGATCGGTGACCAACCTCTTGGGCCTTGGTGTCCATCTGGGCCAGCAGGACCTGGTAAGTAGAAGCAAGGTCTGTCAGTTGCTCCTGGAATGACTTCTGTGATTCCTCCCTCTCCTGCCTCAGTGGCCTTGAAGCCCATTGTCTCCCAGGAGTCCACAAAGCCATTAGCCATGGGACAGCCCTGTCTGTCACACTCTCTGGATACAGTATTATCCCTGCCTCTTCTCCTAAACCAGCAATTGTCTCTTTTCCTGTTGAGAATTGTTCAGTGCCTCCTCATTGCACCTCGAAGTCATGGATGGATTAAAGTAGATTTTCATGACATTGAGCCTCTATGCTCAATGCTTGTTGCATTTACTTGAAGGCCTAGAAGTCAAGGTCCTCCATAGTCTTGTCTCCTCTGCTCTAGGCATTATTGTAACCTCTATCCAAAACAGTGGCCTTCTGGGACCATGTCTTGCTCTTTCCCATTTCTTTGTCTTTCCCTGCTCGTGCCGTCATCCCTGCATGGAATTTTCCAAACTGGTCATGATTAACATCTTTCAAACTTGTTGGAACCACCTAAAATGCCCCCCTCCTCCATCCTTCCTGTTGGAAGAAATTTCTCCTTTGACTGTATCCTCACAGTGCTCTGTACCTTGTATGACACTTGTCACCTCATGTAAGCCTTATCTCCCCTTGAGGCAGGTAAAGCATCTCACTTGCCTAGCACGGTGTCAGCACTAACAGCTGGGTAAGTGAACGAGAGTGAAAATGCTACATCTCTACAGGTGGGGCTTAAACCCTTCTCGGGTTTGATGCTCAACACTGGCTTTCTTTTTTTTTTTTTTTTTTTTTTTTTTTTTTTTTGATCTTTTTTTTTTTTTTTTTTGTTTGAGAAATGGATTCTTGTTCTGTCACACAGACTATAGCATAGTGGTATAATATAGCTCATTGCAGCCTCCAACTTCTGGGTTCAAGTGATCCACCTGAGTCCCTGGGATTTCAGGTGTGAATCACTGCAACCAGCTACCTCTGAGATTCTTGGTCAGTTTCTGCAGCCAGGCTGACAGGCACCTCAGTAAAGGTCAGCAAAAGGGTTAAAATCTGGATTTGGCCATGAGACTAGCCCTGGGATTCCTGGAACACATGAGGTTCCTAAGGACTTCACCACTGTCTTCCCCAGGGAGTGGGGAGCTCACAGCCAGCTCTTAGGTGAATGGGCCATGCCCTACAAGGCCTCTCCCAAAGAGGAAAGAAACCCACAGAGGTACCTGCAGCTCTCTGAGCCCCAGAAAGGATGCCCAGACACAGAAATGACTGGCCAAAGGAGACTCAACCAGGGGTGAGCAGATTAGAGAGCAGGAGAGGCAGCTCTAGAAGACGGATTTCTTCAGGGTTGTGGTGACCCCCCCCAATGGGGAACTCATTGCATCCATTCCTTTGGGACACTTACCCATTGCCCCTTTAGCTCCAGGCTCACCAACAGCACCAGGCAAACCTCTCATGCCAGGCTCGCCTGCAAAGGAGAAAGAACTAGTTGGTTGGACACTTGCAAGCTGTGTATACTTCCACAACGGTAGTCTGCTCCCTCCTTTACCTTCCCCCCATCCAAGCCCTGCCCCTCCTTAGCAAGAAGAGGTCAAGGAGGCAGCTTTTGCTTTGCTTCCAAGGTCAGGGCCACTTGGCTCCCCTGGGCAGTGGCATGGGCTAATCCAGAAACCACACCTAATCAGAACCATGGGCATGCACATGAGTCTATTTCCTTGAAAACTGAAAACCACACCTTGAGTCACAGCTTTATTACTATCAATTTCCTTTTCAATCCTGCCAGTTGGCAGGAGGTCAGTGGTTGAGAGGATACCAGTGGTGCAAACTTCCTGCTGCTTCGGGAACAGCTTAATTTTCTCAACCGTGTTCCCCAAAAGAATCAGAGACAACTCTCTATTTTCTTTTTTTGCTCCAAACATTTACTGTTTGGACTATACATTTGGATACCTCCTTGTCCTCCATTCCAGGCTTTATTTTCTCTTGTCTTATGCTTTTTTTTTTTTCTAGATTACAAGTACCCTGAAGGGTTTTAAACAGATTTTGTCTCATACTTCTGGATGGATTTGCAAAGGTCATGGATGGATTAAAGTAGATTTTCATGACAGACTGACCTGTGAGACCTCGAGGTCCTTTCTCACCCTGGTCACCTAAATAAACAAGGGCGAGGGGGAGAAAACCACTGTTGTGAGCAAAGAAAACAATCTCACCCAATAGCAGGGTCCCCAGCTGCAGGATAGTCCTCACTGTATCTCTGAACTCCTGCCAGCGGATGTTGGTGAGGACACAGCATTAATGCAGCCAAAGGAGCACATCTGATCTTTGGCAGAGTCAGGACCCACCCACAAACTGAGCCCCCAGCCCCTGCTGTTGCAACTTGGTGCCATGGACACAAGAGGACAGATGCCTTGGAATGCTGTAGCCTTACCACCTTGAGAGCCACTTACCACCTCAGAACTTAAGGGGATGTTAGTGCTTGGTTTCCCCTCTTTGTGCCTCAGTTTCCCTATCTGAGAGGTTGAATTAGAATGAGATATTGGATCCCTCTCATTCCAGGGTCCGCAGCCAAGGTCTTGTGCACCCTCTGACCCTGTAGTAAGGGTCCCATCTGGGCTTGTAGGAGTGAGGCAGGCCCTAGTAATGACCAAGCAGCAGTGAGTGATGTACCTTTAGGTCCTGGTGGTCCCATCGGTCCTTTGTCACCTAAAAAGGAAATGGACACCTTGGTGTAAAATGCCCTGCAGGGGACAACCAGGAAGAGGCAATGTCTGTCTCTGAAGACAGGCTCCCCCAATCCTGACTTCACCTTCCCCTCTGACACTTGTCGGCCTGCATAGGCTGTGGGCTCTGTCCATCAGATCCTCACTGTCCCTCCCAGATCTCCCTTCAGCTTACCTTTGACACCAGGAAGTCCCACTTCACCTTGGAGCCCTTGGAGACCTACAGGACCTGCCCAGCAGAAGAAACCATACACGCAGATGAGTATCCCTAGCTTTGGAATGATTAGACATGTATGCACACACATGCACACATACAGGCACACACGTGCACACACCCTAAAGTGAAAGTCAAAGGATGCTTCCCATGGACTCCTTCCCAAGTCCTGGCTAAGTCATTTTGGCCCAGGTTCCTTGCCCCTGCTGATGAACAGGCATTGGAACACATTGTAGAGCCTTGGCAGAGGCATTGGCCATAGCTCAAGATTCTCAAGACAGCAGGACAAGCTCTGTGGCCCATAGGGGACAAGACAGAGGCAGGTGCTTGCTCAGATGAAGACAGAATGGGGACTTCCACTGCTGAAGCTGCTGGAGGGTCTCAGGTCCAAAGCCAGGTCAGAAGGGATCTGGACAGGACCCATCAGGGAGGCCAACCTCTGCCAGAGGGGACACATATGCAGATTTGAATTCTGTATCTCTAAGAGGCTAGATTTATAATTGCTTCTTTTGCTTTAAAAATATTTGGTTTTCCTTTTAACATTGCCACCTTTGCTCCAGAAACAGAACCCATTTACAAGAAGCAGCACACTGACCTGGGGGTCCCTGTGGGCCAGGAGAGCCGCTGGAACCTGAGAAGGAGGATGAGACGGCGATCAGCAGAGGGGCAGGTACAGGCAGGGATATCTGGCCCCAGAGCAGGGCAGGTGGGGGTTGGGGACACTGTCTTCCAGGTGAGGGCTGTGTGAGTGTGCATTGCAGGCCAGGAGTGACCCCAGTGCATGTCCTCCTTAGGGAGGGGGCTGCAGCTGGGTGAGATCAAATGACCTTTGCTCTTTCCTGGTCAGAGTAGAACATTTGGGCTGAGGCTATAGAACATTTGGGCTTTGAGAAGGGACCCATTCTCCCTGGGTTGCCCAGACATGTTACTTTTGATGTGTGCACCTAGGCCACAGTCAGTCAAGGAAATGGTCTAATTTCTGATTTCCTGAATGATCCATCTACCCGCTTAGGGATCACATAACAGGGCCATTGAAGAGAGATGGAAACATAGCCCCAAGCCCATTATGGGGCTAAACTTACAGCCCTGATCTTGACTCCCCAGGGACTGCTTTGTTGGGGGATGCTCTTTAGACCCACCCACCACTCCTGCACAGGCCTGGGCCAGGGGGTTAGGGCTGTCTGGGGTCCCAGGGCCTGCTTCTCTGTGATCCATCCAGAATGTGGCTTCCCCTCTGGCAAACTGATTCCTTCATGCACACTGGACTTACCTTTGGGACCCACAGAACCTGGGACACCAGGTGGGCCGTGAGGACCTGGTTCACCAGCAGCCCCTGTGGAGAAATGGAGGGATGAGTACTTTGGGAGAGGCCCCAGTGTGACAGCCCCCCTATCCTGGCACTGCCATTTGGAGGGGATGCTTCCCACCCTGCTAGTGGTCTTGGATCCATTTGGTGCCCCAGTGAGGCCACTTAGCAGCAAAACTCCTTCAGTTCCTACCACCAGAGACTTTATAGTATATGAAGTCTGGCACCTAGTAGGCACTGAATACATTTTATTCTCTAGTTAAGCAGTATTTTAAAGAGAAAGTAAAACTAAAAAGAAAGCTTCCTGCTCACAGTCTGTTAGCATTGGGAGGGTTTCTGGTATCTGCCTTGGTTTCCCCTGACAAAAGCAGTCTCATAGTTAAGGATGAAATTGCAACACCTTCCCCAGCCCCTCTAGCACTGGACCTATGTCTGGGGCCTTTCCCACCTCCCTCTTGGCCTCCTTCCAGCCAGGAGAGGCTCAAAGGCCTGTGCCCCACTCTGCCTCACAGTGAACTCTGCTCGGTCCTGCCCCGGCCCCCTGAGCCCCACCTTGGCCTGACTCCTCACTCTCCTCACTACTCAACTCCGGGAAGGCCGCTGCTCCTGTGACCACTTTCTCTGTGGATTCCAGGCATGGCAGATGAGTCCTCAGCCCTAGGCCTGGCCCCACAACCCAGCCCAGGCCCAGCATTAGCCTGCTGTCTCGGCAGGGCCTAGCACAGACCCTGACTTAGACTGGACACTCAGCAAATGCAGGAAGGAGGGAGACAGAGAGATGGAATGAAGGAGGGACGAGTGTTGACAGAGAGAAGGAAGCACAGGCGTAGCTGACTCTGCCGGTGAAGGAATTGCCTCTTACCTGTTTCCCCTTTCTCTCCAAACCCAGGAGGCCCTGGCTCACCGCGAGGTCCCATGGGGCCTTCTCGCCCTCTCTGGCCCATGGGGCCTTCCATGCCGGGATCTCCTAAAAACAGGGATGGCCAGCCTCCGAGTTATGATCCTGTGTCCCAGCTAAGGGCTCCACAGGCAGTCTCCCACGGCAAACGCTTGCCTGGAGCCCTTCCCTGGCCTCCTTGTTTCTCCCCGGACCCCACAGCCTTGGCTCAACCCGGAAGCCAGAGTGATCCTTTGAAAATGTGAGTAGATCATGTTCTACCTCTGCCCCAAACCTGCACATGGCCTCTCAACTCACCCACAGTCAAAGCCAAAGTCCTTACACTGGCCTGTGAGGCCCCACACAGCCTGCCTCCTCTCTACCCATCCCTTTAGACTTTCCAGCTCAGAGGTCTCCTCCTTCCTCATGCTCCTTAAAAATTGCCCTGGGGCCTTGGCCTTGGCTTCTCCCTCTGCCTGGAATGTTTTCCCTAGATCTCCCCTGCCTGGCTCCTTCTTGTCCTTCAAATATTTGCTCAAATGGCGACCTCTCGGGGAGGCCTTCCTTGGCTTCCCTGTGTAAAATTATGCTCCTCAGATCTCATTCCCAAAGTCCCCCCAGGCTCTGTCTTTCCCATGTCATGCATCACCCCCTAACCTGCTATAGACTTCACTATTTATCACAGTTATTGTCTTTCTCCCCAGCCCAAATGTCAGCTCCACAACAGCAGGGTTTCTCTGTTTGCTTCACTGATGTCTCTCCAGAGCCTGAAACAAGGCCTTGCATACAGCAGGCACTTAATGAATGTTTACTAAATGAATGTTTACTAAATGAATGAAAGAATGAGGAATAAATGAGTAAAGAAAAAAAGTGTTCTTACCCACGCTGCCTTTTTGACCCTTTGGTCCTTCTGGACCTGGGTGGCCCAAGGGCCCAGGGATACCTGTGGACACAGAAGGGTATCTCAGTCCCTGTTTCCCTCCCAGAAGACATCAGCTAGGACTGAGCAGCTGCAACACCAGCAGCCCTGGAGATCATCAGAGAGTACATACCTGGAGTGCCAGGGAACCCTCGATCTCCTGCAGGAACAAAGGCAAAAGAGAGAGGTCAGCCAGAGGACTATTCCCAATTCCCCAAAGAAGTCACTAGTGGGATTCGGGTAGGGTTGCCAAACTAGCAAAGAAAAATGCAAATGTCCAGTTACCAAAAAACACATATTTTTAGTTATAAGTATGTCCCATGAAATATTTGGGACAAGTTATAGTGAAAAATTGTTTGTTGTTTATCTGCAAAGTTAACTGGGAGTCCTGTATTTTACCTGACAACTGCAGGTTCAGGCACTCTGGCAGCATCCGTCCCCATCCCCAACATGGTCAGGAGGGGTGTGCAGGCTACAGCCTTGGGGAAGGAGGGCTGGGACAATGACCCAGGTATATGCAAGGGCGTGGGTGGCAAGGATCTGAATGGAAAGAAGAGACTTGGAGGGCCCCAAAGTGGAGGAGCTGACTTCCTGCCCCAGGGTCACCTAGGAAGTGAGAGGGGGCTGCAGAATGGGGGAGATCCTGTCATCTTGAATTTGGTACTTAGTATTCTTCTAGCTGCAGAATCACTGAGGATGACTAAGATAAAAGACTCCAGCCCATACCCACACCTTCTGAGTCAGAGGCTCTGAGAATGGGGCCCAGACTCTTTTGGAGATTCCTGTGCACGCAGAAGCTCACCAATCCCAGTTCAGCTGGACCAAGGAGAGCTGCTCTGTGTTCAGCCAAAGGTCCCTTGGACTGGGACCTTCCCAGTCCTCCCCACACGCCTGTCCCAACTGTTGCCAAATTACTTCTTGGAGTGCAGGGTGGGTTTTCCGAAACTTGCTGATTGTTTAAAGCAATTAATGCTTGCTAATATTTAAGGTAAAAATGTCCATGTTATAATTACCTTTAGGGCCTTGGCTTCCCATGTCACCTGAAACCAGAAATACATGAAAACTGTGAGACAGGGCAAGAACCCAAAGGCCATATTCTGCCTTGTATTTTAAAACCATTTGACAAGACTTAAACTGTATTTCAAGGTGAGGAAATGTGCGGTGTGAGTCCCTCCCAGTCTGTCTATGTCACTTGGGCTCATTGCTGGGCTTTTCTTAGATGCTGCCTTATCTAAGACTTTCTGACTCTAAAACCAGTTCTCAGTCCTCCCAACAGATACCATAAGATCATTCAGCTATTCATCTTCCATTTAGAAAAAAGAAAAAGGTTTCCAATCCACCCAGAAAATTCATTTCCAACTGCAGGAAATGAAGGCAGGGACAAGGCTCAATCCACAGCGATACCTTTAGGGCCAGGGCTTCCTCGGAGATTTCCTGCAAGAGAAAGGAAATCCTGGGTCAGCTTCACATCTCATGTCCCTCACACACACACACACAATAAGGGGATCATGGTATGGGAGGAAGAAACTGAGGCAAAGACTAGAGATCATATTCTAAATTTGGCTAGTCCAATGATCTTGGGCAATTCTTTTTTCCAGAACTCAGTTTTCCCGGGAGTAAAGTGGGACCACAGTCTTGGTCCCACCTACTTCTCAGAGTTATTGAGAGGATCGGAGGAGGAGGAGAGAGGCTGAGAGTGGGCTGGATGATGGCGCCCATAACGCATGCACACATGTCACACAGATGCAAAGAAGAAAGGAACTCAGGGGAGCTGGCCCTGTGCCCGGCCATGCTCTCACCATTTTCCTGTTCTGTCATCAGTTTTTTCCTCACGAACAACCAGAGCGCCTCCTGGCTTTCGCTGTCCAGGCCAATTTTGTCCAGATCTGCTCCTACTGCAGGTGCTATGCCCTGGAGGCCGTCCTTGCTGTCTCTCACCAGCCTATCCACGTAGGACAGCTTGCTGTTCCTGATCCTCTCCAGCTCGTCCACACGGGCCTTCAGCCTTCTCACCTCCTCCGCTGCAACAAATGGACACAGACTGAGTCACCAAAGGCCCCATCCTTCGCCTTCCACACACTCGCTCCTCGTAGGGAGCCTGACACAGGGCGCAGCGGCCTGTGGTGGCTTCTTCACACTGGAATACTCATGCAGAGACGATCTGCCATGGCCACCAGCAGGATTAGCTGCTCACCATCACAGCAGAGCCTTAAAGAAACCTGGCCTGGAAGTCAGTATCATCTGAACTGTGTGACCAAGCTTGTCGTCACTCTCCCTGGAAGGTGGTGTGAGAGCTGATAGAACTAGATAAGGCTGCTTGGAAACGGCAAAAGGCAAAAAGGCTAAGAAAGTCCTGACGTTGTTACTAAGGGCAGCCAGGTGCTTAGAGCGGGGCCTACAGGTACAGCGAGGGTGGGGCTGGGCATCAGGTGCTCCATCCAAATTCAGCTCCACCACTAAATGGCAGTGTGCCCTTGTCCAGGTACCTCCTGGGGCCTTGGTTTCCTCATCTGTGGTAACAAGGGTCTATACCAATGTGTTCAGGTCCCCTCACCCCTAACATCTGGGCCCACTCAGATTCCTGCCCTTCTGAAAGGCAGTGTGGCCAGCCTGCCTCTTACCACACAGGCTGCCCTGCTGCCTTCGCCACATACCCAGAGCAATGAGGCCGAAGAGCAGCCCCAGGAGCAGCAGCCAGGTGAGCAGCAGGCCCAGGAGCCACTTCCACCAGCTGCAGCAGGATCTGCAGGGGCACCAGGCTGGCGCCGCTCCCCATGGGCCGCCACCAGCGCCACCAACACCGCCACCTCTTCCGTGGCCACCACCACCTCCGCTGCCGTAGCTGTGGATATCTGTGGAAGGACAGGGAAAATGAAGCAAATGCAGGTAGCTCCTGCCTTTTCCATCTAGATTCTCTGACTTTTGGTGACTTTCTGGCCTGAGTGACTGTGCTGGGGGCTTTCAAGTTCCTGAGCTGATCCACACAGGACAGGGTTGGCTCCTGGACTGAGCACAGGGCCTGGCTGGTGCTGACCAGAAATCTGGCAATCCTGGACTCCAGCTGTGTGACCCTGAGAAGGTCAAGTCACCTTTGTTTCCTTTTTTATAACATGGGGTTAAAAGATTGCCTACTTCCTGGAAGGTTGTTGAATGAAATGAGACAAGGCATGTAAAATAGCAGAGGAGCCAACAGCACAGCACGAGGCTTAAACATCTTTATTATGAATATGGCATTGATCTGCATCTGATTGGGCCCAAACCTAAAGCATTGCCATCGCCATGCCTCAGTTCACACAGTGCTTTCTTTGCAATGCTCACAGTACCTAGAATTACACTCAGCACTTCATGGGTCCCCAGTGAATTAAAACAATTTTTTATAATGAAAAGTGTTTTTAGTTCTCTAAAATGGGGTGGTAAGGACCTGCTTCTATCACAAGGCAGTGGGAGGAAATGAGGAAAGGCTGAGGGGCTGGAGGCATGCAAGGCTTAGTCTCATCTCGAACTGCTGTGTAAAGATACAGTCAGTCGTCCTGTTATGTTGGGGCGACAAACTAATTAGCAAGCGTTAATTGGTGGGGGGGGCCTGTTAGCTCCATCCCCTGAGCTAAGCTCCTTCTGCAGTCACCTCTGACCCACAGCCTGCCACCCCCCTGTCCCCCACCCTGCTCCCTTCTGAGCCTTTAGGGAAACTCTTTAGAGTCTGGTGACTTCTGTGCACTGCTTCCAGGCAAGGGACTATCATCTGGTGCATTAGCCATAAGCAGCCCCAATGGATCCTGTTACTGCACGGTTCGCTGTTCTCACTTACCTGCAGTGCTGGTCTTGCCCTTTGTGGACACAGTCTTCAGGTCTCCTGAAAGGACAAACACAGGTTTTGACTTGAGCTTTTAAACAGGAGGAGCTGACTGCTCTGCCTATGGAGTAGCCATTTTTTTTTCATCCTTTACTTTCTTTCTTTTTTTTTTTTTTGAAACGAAGTCTCGCTCTGTCACCCAGGCTGGAGTGCAATGGTGCGATCTCGGCTCACTGCAACCGGGTTCAAGTGATTCTCCTGCCTCAGCCTCTTCATTAGCTGGGACTACAGATGCCCACCACCACACCCAGCTAATTTTTGTATTTTTAGTAGAGATGGGGTTTCACCATGTTGACCAGGCTGGCCTCGATCTCCTAACCTCATGATCCACCCACCTTGGCCTCCCAAAGTGCTGGGATTACAGGCGTGAGCCACTGAGCCTGGTTTACTTTCTTAGTAAACTTGCTTTCATGTTAAAAATAAACAGTAAACTGGAGGAGCCCACAAGAATGCCCCTCATGTTGATTCTGGGTAAGGATTTAAGTAAAGAAGACCCCCAGACACTCTGCAGAACAATGACATGCAGTAACATCTAGCAGCTCAGTCCTCACTAATCTGATATTTGCAATAATTGCATCCATGAAGACACGGCTTGGCAAACAATTAATGGTGGAAGAAAGCACCATGTTTTAATTCTCTTATGACCTTAAACCTTTACACCTCAAAACATTTTTGGAAGACCAGGTTACAGGTGCCATTTGGATTCAAACAATAAGTGTGGTTGTGAGAAATGACTCTGATTTCTTGGTTAAGGGACTCTGAACACCAAGTTCCTGACCTGAGGTGGAAGGAATTGGGAATGAGAAGGCCAAGCTTGGAGGATGATTGCTCCTGAGTCTGTGATGCTATTTGAAAGTTGAGTGGTTAGGCCAGGCATGGTGGCTCACGCCTGTAATTCCAGCACTTTGGGAGGCTGAGGCAGGCGGATCACGAGGTCAGGAGTTTGAGACCAGCCTGACCAACATAGTGAAACCCCATCTCTACTAAAAATATAAAAAAATTAGCCAGATGTGGTGGTATGCACCTGTAGTCCCAGCTACTTGGGAGACTGAGGCAGGAGAACCATTTGAATCCGGGAGGCAGAGGCTGCAGTGAGCCGAGACTGTGCCACTGCACTCCAGCCTAGGCAACAGAACAAGACTCTGTCTCAAAAAATAATAATAATAAACAAAGAAAAAGGAAGAAAGTTAAATGTGTGTAGGCATATGTGGAATTTACTGGCTGATTTGTTCTTACCTTTCATCAGATTCTGAAAAGGATCTTTTGATTCCACAGCCCTAGACCTACCTTAAAATGTCAGGAACTGCTAACTTTAAAGACTCAGAGTCAGGTTCCAATCTCTTACCTTGTTAAAGTGATAACTTATTTAATTTGCATTTATTTAAAAATGTTCTATGACTTAACATTTTCCTTCCTTTACTGACATCCCTGAAATCAGGGATTTGGAGACAGTCTTACAGGGCATTGTGAAGAAATGTGGTTATCAGACAAAGAATGCAGATGTTTGGGAAGAAAAAAAAATAAAGCTAACAAGTGCTTTGAAAAGCATTTTTCTATTAGTTCTGAAAGATGATAGAGATAAATAAAATGAGTAAACACCACTATGGACATGGCAGAGGCAGGCTTTTGCTTAAAAAGCCTGTGCACGTGTGAATCACGTGTGCACACGTGAATCACCTAGGAATCTTGTTAAAATGCAGCTTCTGACTCAGCAGATCTGAGCTAAAGCTGAGACCCTGCTTTTCCAACAGGCTCCCAGGTATGACCGATGCTACTGGCCCATGTACCACACTTTGATTAGCAAGGTCTTCAAAGACAAGTAAATGAAATGTGGCCTGGCTGAAGTCAAGGTAGACAACAATCGTATTTGTTCTTACCATTAGCTTCAGCTTTTAGGCCTGAGTCAGCATTGTAGGCAGCTTGCTTTTCTTTTTTTAGGGTGTCTTCTGAAAAAGAAGCTGTGCACAGAACCCATTATAACCTGGCATATTTTCTTCTCAACCTCTGAATTTTGTCCCATGTTCTACCCTGCCCCTGCCCACTACCCTGCTTAGTAAGGTTAAGGTTAGCCTGATTAAAAAGAGCCCCTCTTTTCCAGGGTTCATCTTCCCTGATCTGTGTTTGTGCTTAGACTTGCTGTCGACCAAATGCCTCTCTGAGAGCTCTTTGCCTGAATTTTCTCAGCTCATCTGCATTCAAGGAAGACCTGGAACATGTCATTCAGACAGGTGCTTTTCATTAGAATGGGATGGCCATGGTTTCCTGACTCACAGGGTCCCAAATCACCTTGCTAGGACATTTGGTCTCCTACACTATTTGCCTTTCTTCTGAAACCCAAGTCACACAGGCTCTGACGCACTTGTAGTGATGCTGGCTGGTGAGGCCGTAAAGACCTTCCCACTGTCCTTGGTCATGATCAGCAGCTCCATCTCCTTCTTGGCAGGTGTGTTGTCTTTCTCTAGGATCAGGAACTTGCAGTCCTTGGGCAAAAGGTCATCATTCTGCATGCTTGTGGTGCAGGCTAGGGAGGAAGACAATGGGAGAGAAGGAAGGACATGTGCCGAGAGAGGGGAGAAAAGACAAGAAGAGGAAGGAGAAGAAAAAAGAAGTGGGGTGGGGTGGTTAAATTAGCAGGTGTGTATGAGAGTCTCCTGTTCTTGCTGACAGTGGTTGCTATGAAGCATCTTGAGGACCAAGGACACCCTCTATGCCTGGCTGGGCCTGGCCACCAAGAGTTTGGGTCAATATAAGAAGCTCTGGATGGCTGTCTTATGGGGCTGCCTCCCCTCCTGGAGATTATAGGATCTTTATTGAATGTGTAAAAGTCTCCATAGTCAGGTAAGTCCTTTCTTAACTAACTTGGGTTCATTTTTATTCTCCAGGTCTTAAGTGTTGCCTTCTTGGGGAGACTTTTCCTGAACACCCCATCTAAAGCACTTCACCCTCATACACACACTCCTGTCTCTACCACATCACTTACTGCTGTCCTTAAAAATCTCTGTCCTTTTCTGTAATTGTCTTGCATACTTTGTGTGTTTGTCATCTGCCTCCACCACTAATGTCAGCTTAGTGAAGGCAGGAATCTGTCCTGTCGTGTTTACTGCTGTACTGTGAGCACCTAGAACAGTGTCCATCTGACACAAAGAAGGTGCTCAGTAAAGGCTTTCCAATAAATGAATTGTCGAATGGAAGACAACACACTCCAGGATTAGAGCAACGGAAGCCGAATTATGTGGACAAAGTTGATATAGATTCTATAGAAAGTAGAATCAGCTACTATAGAAAGTAGCCAGCAGCTTCGGAGGGCTCTATGGACTGCTCATAACAGGTGAAGGCCAACGGCTTCCAAAAAAGTTCAGTGGCTAATGTGCAAGTGCCTGGCCCAAGGCAGATATGGAGGGTGGAGCTTCCTGTCTCCTTCAGATAGGACGTTCATCTTTATTCACTCACGGAAATATCCAAGAGGCCCTTGGGGCAAGTTGCATTTGTAGGCCTAAGACCAATCATGGGTGCTATTTCCTTTTCCAGTATACCACGTGTACTGCACAGTAATCCTCTCTGTGCACCAGCCTGACCCCTGGCAGCTGGGAGCAGCACTCACCAGCAGAGGTGGAAACGCCAGTGTTCACAGCCGCAGGGCTCTGGGGCATGTTTTTCTTCACCCCATATGCTGCAAGAAAGGAAACTGGGTCAGCATGGGAAGATGGTTCCAGATGACTCAGGAGAAACCTGGTCAGCTCTGGCAGAGAGATGCCCCCAACCCCCTCCAGTGAAAAGCAGATGATGAATCAACTCTCTCCAGCCATGGGGAGAGCAATGAGGGTTTAGAAGGAACATTCTTGGGTATAATCCTCTTAATCCTTCTAGCCACCTCCAGGAAGTCCTCCTAGACCTGATGCATCTCCTTCCCTCCTGAACTCCTGCAGCCCTTAACACCTGCTCTGCACAGCTTATCACTTATTCCCATTGTCTTACAGAGCCTCTCATTGTCTCATGCGTGTTAGACTTTCTCCTCCAATTAAGTAGCAGGTAAGTTGGGGGCAAAGGATGACCTAGGTTTCGTGTCCCCACCCACCCCCAGATTTGCACAGTAGCAGCAACCTGTAAGGGGTGCACCATCAAATCAACCAGATGATTGATTTGCAGTGACAGTGGGCTGTCAAGGATAGCAGTGAGCTGGCAAGACCACCAACCTGACCAGTTTGGCTGTGAGAGACACAGGAACAGACAAGTGATACCTCACAAGGTGATGCTGTTGACAGGACAGCCTTCCCTGGGTGCCTGACTCATGTCTGTGCCAGCTAATGATCAAGATTGACCTCTCCAGGTAAGGGCAGGGGATGCTGTTTCTTTGGCAGGAAAGGTCAACCGATTTTCAGGGACATTTTGGATCTTTTAATTCAATAAGTTGTAGCTGCAAAGAGGTGTCACGTCCCAGCCCCTAAGCTCCAACCCTAGCCTACTGACCTGTGGAAGTAGTGGTGGTGCCATGGGACAGGGTAGTCGAGCTGGGGGCCAGATTGTTCTGCATGCCAAATACTGTGAAAGCAACAGAGGGCAGGTGAGTACAGGGTGCACAGGGGATGCACCCTGGCTTAAGAGGGCCCCCCAGAGTCCCTAAACCACTTTTATGATCAATGTTTTTACTGATGACAGAGATTCCCAAACTTCCTCAGTTTCCATACTCTTTTGTAATACAGTAATTTGGTTAATGCCCCCACCTACCTACTCCAGGCCAAAAATTACGAATAATTCCACTTATCACATAGTTAGGTACATGCAACTTAAAAGCAGTGGTTCACACAGGGTCTGACAGATGTTGCTGACAGATCTCTCAAAATTTAAAAATATCGTAGGGGTTCCCTGTTTCCTCTGACACCCTGGGGTGCCTTGGTGCACAGTGTGGGAACTGTAAATGTGGGATATGGACACAGACACCGTGGGTGCTGAGAGGCACTAACTTGGCAAACTCCTAGTATTCCCGTTAGCTCTTCCTTCTCCTGACACAAACACATAAAACTCCCCCACCTCAACTATGATTTCCAAGGCGCCTTGTTTATTTGATTGCTTGTTTGTTTTCAACAATGTGCAGAAGCGTATTCCTCCTGGCCAACAGCTTCTGTTGTTCCAGCCTATCTAGTATTTCGGGCACAAGATCAAGGATTTGATATCAGCCTTGGGACCTGGTTTTATCAGGACTTTGCAAAGCAAAATAGCAAAGGCAGAAAAAATAAAACATGTAGTCAATGTCTTCCGGATTTGGTGGGCCTCTAATCAATCAGAGGAAGGTGCTGAAAATCTGAATGCAAAACTTGTACTTGCAACTATATCAGTCAATCAAACAAACAAGGCCCACATCATGATATTTGTCACAATATCGCAGGGAGAAGGCAGACTCCTTTAAAAAGAAAAGATGTAGGATGGTAACATTTACATATAGGCTCTTAAGATGTTTGTGAAAACATAGCAAATAAACATTTCTTTTAAATTGTTGCATGTTTGCATTGGAAGCTAAGCAGTAGCATTATTTACCCCAATGTAGTTACTCCAACAAACTACTTGCTATATTTATAGAAAGATCTGAAAGTAGTTACTCAATGAACTACTACTTTTCTTAAAAAGATCTGAAGTAAAATCCTTCTAAATTAACAATGCCTTTACCCTGAAGATGTCCTACACTATGATTCAGTTAGACCCTTCCTTTCCAATCCTCCAACTCTTCCAGAATATAAAGGCGCCACCTTGGAATACGCATGTCTGTGTGGGCTCATGTCCCCTCGCCTGAGACCTTTCCCTTGGGGTCTGAGTTCTTCCTGTGGTTGAGAGCAGGCTCTGTGCAGCCCTGTGGCCTCTGCTTCTAGGCTGCAGTATGCATGGAGGAAAGTCCTTCATGCTCTTGGGCAAAGTATTCTAACATTTTTATGCAAATAGCCTAGAAAAGGCATCTCAAGATGGTGACACTGACCTGAGGAGGATGTACTGAGTCCAGGGTGCAAAGTGGGTGAGCAGGATGCCATGTTATTTGGAACTCCAAAGACTGCAGGGGCAAGGAGGAAGGCTGATGAGAGGGACATCTGGTCCAGAAAGGGATAGAGATTCGGGTATCATGGAAGCACCAGAAGAAATGTCAGGATTGGGTTTTTATATTTTGGTAAATTTTTGTTTTTAGGAAAAACTGACTCTTGCCTTGCAGCAGAGACTCAAACACTAGCCTGCACTGCACCTTGAGTCACAGCCAATAGGTGATCTCAGGTCAATCAGACCTGGTGTGGACAGTGGATCCAGCCAAAGGCTCTCTTGTGAGTGACCCCATTTTACAGAGATGATCCTGGAATTTCAGAGAAGTCAAATGACTTATTCAAGATCCCACAATCAATTCATATGAAATGCAATTAGGTCTCCTACATCCATTTTCAGTGTTCCTTCCATTTTCCCTGATACATTGTGCTATATATTCTAAAGGGGACACACTGGAAGAAACACCTTCTAGGTTTTTTTGTTTGTTTGTATTTTTTTTTTTTTTTAGTAGAAACAGAGTTTCACTATCTTGGCCAGGCTGGTCTTCAACTCCTGACCTCATGATCTACCCGCCTCAACCTCCCAAAGTGCTGGAATCACAGGCATGAGCCACTGCACCCGGCCTACACTTTCTAGATTGAATTGTTCCAGGAGCAATCTCTTGGGATGTTTGGCCACAGAAAGCCTCTCCAGGAGACCCTGAGAATGGCAAACATTCCAGGGGTCATTCAGCTCCAGGATAAAGGCATGCCGAGTTCAGGGGTGGGGGAGGGTATGGGCTGCCCACCATGTACCTGATCCTGCAGAGTAGGCATTGGTGTTGAGGAGGGACGAGCTCTGTGTTGTCATGTTGTTGTGATAGGTCCCCATGGAGGACCCTGCGGGCAAGGTGGAGGACCACACATGGGAGGGAAGGTTGGCATCCAGGATCGTTGCATCGTAGGTGCCTGACACTGAAAACAGACAAGTGGACATACCCCAGGTGAGAGACAAGTCAACACTCCCTGCTGGGGAACCTGGTCATTTTGCTGGGATTTTCCTGGTTTGGGCATTGAAGGTCCCACATTTCAGGAACTTTCTCAGTCCAGGAACCTGAGGTAGTTTCCATCTGAAATCTCAGAGCTGGTGAAAACACTGTCTCTTGGATTAGAAATTTTTGCTGGCTCCTAGTGAAATTTGAGGTCGCCAGATTTTGCTGTGGGGTCCACCCATTTCTCCTTCTAAACCTGGCTCCCCATCTCCTGGTGGGCTGTCCCACCAACCGTCTTCCTCTCCACCTGTTGCCAACTCCTCCATCTTCAAAGACACAGCGGGAACTGTTCTCTCAGGAGCAATAAATAAGACCCCAAAGTGAACCTCTTTCAGTAGAATTCCAGGCACCATGGCCACTGCAGGGTGCATGCCTGGGCAGGGGAACCCTTGGTCTTGGGCCACACTGCATGCATGGCAGCCTTCTCTGGTTCTACCCTCCTTAAACATTCCTATGGACCAGCGAGACACAAGGAACACTGTGCCCCCAAGAGGAGATTTTCATGCTTTTTCATATTTGGGGCCAGTTCTGCTAATTTGCCTGTGAGAGGGAGCCAGCCATGCAGGTCAGAATGTGCCCTGAGGTTTTGGTTTTAGGGTAAAAAACAAGAAAGATCACCATCTCTAGGCTTTTCTCCAGTAGTGAATGGGAGGGAAGTTTCCTATCATAGTAGATCTGGCTCTTTCCCTCATCTCCTGCCACAGCTTTGCTAATGTATATTTCTACCTCCCATAGAACCTACCTTGCACTTGGGGGCCGCAAAATATGGAACAACTGAATGATACTCATCCCACTCAACTGGGACATGTTGGTTTTCTGACTTCCTTCAGAGACCCACTGTCCACAAGGGCAGCGACTGTGTCTCTCTTGTCCATTGCTTTTCCTCAATGCCTGGTGCTTGGCATAGAGGAGACATTTAATAAATAGTCATTGAATAAATGAATGAAAACTCTACAAATTTCCCCAATATTCTTCATTTGGGGAGCCTGGCCAACATACTCTCCTGGGAAAGAATCTCTAGGATTTAGGGCTGGGCTACAGCAAGTATGTGGAATGGGTGACCAGTGAGGGGTAGGATAGGTACAGCCCACATTTTTCACTGCTTGAAGAGCAGATGCTCAGGACTTTGCAAGGTCTTTGGCAAAGCCTGAAAGGCCTGCCAAAGCGTGGTTGAATCCCCAAGTCAGCATAGATCTGCCACCTTGTTCCCTTCCCTCCTGAAAGAAATAATGTATACAGTGGTCCATTTCCAAAACAAAGTGCCTTAAATTAGCTTAGGTCAGCAAACTACAGAAGAAACAGCATATACTAGGCCCTTGCTTGGATCGCTAATGCCTACTTCCCAGCCTCTCCCTTCTCTGCCAGCGTCCCCTGCTCTTAGTTTCCCCCACTCAAACCAAAGAAGTTTAGTCTAAGATAAAAGTTTACTAGACTGCAAAATAGCTCATTTTGTCTGTTCTTATCAGTTTGCCCAGCTACTTAGGTCATAAGTCAAATACTTGAAGAACCCTAAGCCAACTAGGATTGCAATGCATTATGGGATGCAACAAAATGCAGTAAGACAACCCTAAAAAAATCACCTAAAGCCCCTACCCAACACAAGAGGGAACTAAAAAGACCCCTTCTAACATTCTCCCAAAGAGTCCATTAGACAAAATACTGCAGGTTTTTAAGGGATAACCCTCGAACTAGGGACAAGGAAAAGCAAAAAATGATAAAGTATTACTGTTTTATCTGGCCTAAAGAGCCCATTTGTCAGCCTTTGGTCTTTTGGCCTAAGTTTGGCTCAAATGAGGATTGGGTGTGCCAAGCTTTAATTCTCTATGTGAATAATAAAACCCCATCCTCACAAGAGGAGATGGGTTATACTCTTTGTTAAATTAGTAAATTAACCCCCATGTTCCCAATGAAAGAAGAAAAAAAAGGAGCATAGTAAAAAGCCTTTGCTCAATAAAAAGCCCTGGGATCCCCTAACATGCTTGCCCCCACCTTACATCTCACAAAGTAGAGGAGAGGAAGATCAGGGGGCAACAAGAAGGCTGAAGGAGGAGGAATCTGGGGGTCATAGAGAAGCTAAAACCAATGCTCCCTAAAATCCTTATCCAAACTTGAGGAAAGAGAACAATGTAAGAAGGACATTGAGAATTTCCCTATTCCTTCTAAACAGCAGATGTCTAATATGTACCCTTTTAAAGAAGTCCCCCTGGGACAGGGAGGAGTTGGATTTGTGAGTGTGCCTCTAACAAGTACTGAGGTTAGGAATTTTAAACAGGAAATAAGGCTACTTTTGGAAAATCCCCTCAGTTTAGCAAAGCAGCTAGATCAATTTTTAGGACCCAATTTTTGTACTTGGGCTAAGATGATGTGAATCACAAGTATTCTGTTTATTGGGGAAGAGAGGGGAATAATTAAAAGGGCAGCCATGAGCGTTTGGAAGAGGCAGCATCCTCAGGCAAGGAGTCCTGCTAGCTGAGCAGAAATTCCCAAATGCAGATCCCAGATGGAATAACAATAACCCTAAAGATTGGCCCAAATGCAGGACCTAAGGGAACGAATAATTAAAGAGATTAAAGAGTCCACTCCAAGGACACAGAATGTCTCTAAAGCATTCAAGATCCAACAAGAAAAAGAGGAGACTCCCTCTGTGTTTCTGCAGAGGCTCAGGGATTAAAA